CTTGCAAGAAATCAAAAGTGCCCTACACTCGAAAAAGGGAAAGTCAATGACAAATCAAACGACGACATCCGTAAACAAAATGAGAGTATGGAAACATCCAAAGTGTAATATTTGTAAAAGACACCATCCAGGAGAATGTCGGTTTACGCAAGGATTATGTCTAGGTTGTGGCAAATCTGGACATTTCCGAAGGGAATGTTCCACTAACCCTGGACCATATTCGATTACTTCTATTCAAAATCAATCTGTTAGTTCAGGAAGAAGTCAACGTTCTAAAAGCACTTCAAACCAAGAATGATGCTCCTGTAATGTCAAATTATCGTCAAGAAAAAGTTCGAGAATGTATTGAAGAATGAATGTTTATAATAGTGACAACTCTTTGTAAAAGATAAAACATCTTCCAATTTGTATCCCAAAAATATTCGTATTTGCTTGAATCTACGTATGTCGAACACCTAGTATAATGAAATCTTTCATTTGACCCATCTTGAGAAAATGTTTGATATTTACATGATGCATTCTGATGTTGAAAATAAATATTTTTTCTGACTTGCACTGGCCATGCAGCTTAGAATAATATTTGTGGTTAACTCATAATGTTCATGGACAATATTATTCCAATACAAATAGAACTGGGATTACATGAAGTAATATTACAAATGTAACTCTAAATCCAATCTCCCAGGATTTGTAAACTCGTCGTAACTAGCCCCAGGACCTGGAAAAGCTTTAGCAAACTCTAGTTTGTCTAGAAGCTCATCAACGAAGAAAGAAGAAATGAAAAGTTTCTTCTGACTTGAAGCCATGAAGTTCTGCCTCACTCCATCATCTAGAAATTTGATTAGGTTATTAAAATAACCGTCAATGTTCAAGAGACCAATGAGTTTATTGTGCAACCCTTCAGATGCCCACGAAATTAAGGTGAACAAACCTTCCATAGTATCAATTCCTCCGGGAAGTATGATGAAAGCCTCCACCACATGATTCATCTCGAAATACTTGTAGTAATTGCTGGAAACGGTGTACTCTGCACCGTATGTAGGACCATTGACGTGTCGTGCTGCTATGTACCCTGGTATGAAGCCTCTAACTATACCACCATTGGTATAAATTGTTGAAACAACAGCTCCTTGAAGGCCAACATTACCTCCACCGTAGGTAAGTCTAATTTTCCACCTTACCAATTCCCTTCCTAAATCTACCGTTGTAGCCATGAACTTTGGATTTCTACCAAGAGCATGACTACCAAGTAGACCAACGAATCTTATGGTATAAGAAAGAGCTTGAGAAGTTCCTTCCATAATGTGAGAATGTGAGATACTCTTGCCACAATCGTGATATATATAGGCTCTGAAGCTTGAGCTTTGAGAAAAAGGGTAGTTATCCTCAATCGAAATTTGTACAGCAAAGTTGGATTCGATTTACCTACTGACAATGATGTACTCGCCAATACTACAGTCTGCTAACGATATGACATATTGAGAACTCGTGAATAGTTAGATTCGCTGTCATAAAATAAGTTCAAATTCATGACGAAAAGTCAA